TACAAGATGTAAAGATACAATAAATATCATAATATCAAAGTTTTATGCTTTAATTAATATGTGGACCTATTTTATGTTAGAGAAAAGAAATTCACCAAAGACGCTACGAAATGCTTCGAATTGCTGGATAGTCAGCTTGGAAACAGACTCGAGTGCAAAGGATTAATATAATACATAGAATGTTAAGTTTGAAAATCTAAATAATATTTCAATTCAATCGAAAATGAATTTACTCGAAACAATAATAATAATAATAATAATTATTAGTCCCCGTATTATATACCGCGAATCGAATAATAATAATAATAATCTATATTCCGTGGAAAATAAATGTTTATTAGTAAAAGTAATATAATAAAGGAATAATAATAGTCGAGACTTAATCGGCCGTAATGAATTCTCATCGATCAACGCGACGACGATTTAATGGCACGTTTTACTCCTACTACCACCCCCTTTATCAGCAACCACCCTATAAACACCCCACTCTTCTCACACAATCGTTATATATCATTGTGTGCTTGATATCGTTGAATATATACCATTTCAAAGGTTTTCTAGCGTGAATTAAATGCCAAGCGGTTTTTTTTTTTTTTAATCGTAGAAATCGAATGAATATCTTCCCTCGAACTTTTCCATCGAAGTATAACCACCCCACTACCCCTCTTCCTCCCAACACAAACTCTACAATCTTTTCCACCACCACCACCACCACCACCACCACCGTTCTTTTCTTTATTCTTTATTCTCCTCGAATGGTTTCTATGAAAGGCACAAAAGTTCTCACCGCTCGTTAGGAGTAAATTTTTATACACATAAGTAAGAAAGAAAGAAAGAAAGAAAGAGAGAGAGAGGGAGAGAGGGAGAGTTTCAGGCAAATCAGGTCACCTTTCCCTCTGCCATTTTTATGGGGATATCTTTTTCTAAGGGAGAAGACGACAAAGGATCTCGAAGGAAGAAAGAAACAGAGAAAAGAAGGCAGTTCTCGCAGTATGCTAGACAAACGTCTCGAGAGGTATAGTAGATCATAATGCTCCCGCATATACATATATTCATATACATATGTGAAGAGAGAGAGAGAAAGATTTGTGCACTATGAGTACACCTATGCGTTAGATTTGTATTTGTTTGATTCCGTATCTTTAAAACATG